CAGTGGGGGAGGCATGGATGCTCAGATGGGACGTCCTCGAGAAGGGACACTGAAGTGAATCTGAAAGCAAGAGATACTATCCTGAGTACTCTGAGTCGGACAGAGGCCGGACATGCAGGGGCCACTCCAGTCAATTGGCAGCGTTATGCAATAGACCATACGGGAGTTTTCTTTATATATGGGCAAGGAATCATGGCAGTCACAAGGGCAGCTGAGCGGAGGCACGATGATTCGGAATCATCTGATGATCAGAATATTGATAACCATCTGGATATGTTTGACTCCAGTGAGGAGGATGACGTCAGTGACATCGATCAGGATGATGGCCAAGAGGCTATAGGGGAGCAGAATGAGTTTGACGGTATGGCAGATCAAGGTGATGAAGAGGGATCAATCGAATCCGTCGATGACATGATGCTGGATCTACAGGAGAAAGATGATGTGGAGCGGCTCATTTGGCGTGAGCATGCCTTTGGGCATTGGGGGCCCAAGAAGGTACACCAGATATTAAAACGTCAAGGTATTCATATACCGATAAGCCGGATACGGCGGGAACTACGGCTGTGCGGAATATGTGCATGTTTTAGACCCCCGTTCCGAAGAAGGCGGTGGGGCCAACCACCATATTCTGAAGAACCTGGGCATACGGTCTATGCGGACTTCATTGGGCCGGTGTCACCTGCTGGGGCTGGAGGTAACCGGTACATCCAGTGTGTTATTGACAGCGCTACCCGGCGTGTACATGCTACTGCCCTACATTCAACGCATACTCGAAGTGCCCTGAAAGGTCTACGTGAGTGGATATCACGATATGGGGAGTTTCGGGTGTTGGTGACAGACAACGACACAGCCTACGATTCTGCGGAGATGCGGAGCTGGTGTACCAAGGTAGGAGTAACGCAGGTTTTCATACCCCCACATCATCATCGAGCAGTGGGGCTTGTGGAGCGCCTGAATCGTACGCTTGTGGACCGTCTACATAAGGTGCGGTTTCATTACATGGAGGCGACTGGACACCGGGCTCCATGGAGTCTTTTTCTACCTCAGTGTCTCCGGATGATCAATAATACAGTTAATGATGTGACGGGGTTTACACCGACCGAATTGTGGGACGGCTCAGCCACAGATCGATGTCTCGCTCATGAACGCAGTGTACAAGCTCGCCAGAGAAGGGATAAGAGGGTATTACATAAGCCCATGACATTCACAGTGGGTCAGCAAGTGTTGGTGCATGATGCAATAGCAGCGGCCGACAGAGGAAGGAAGTTTGATCCATGCTGGAAAGGCATCTATATCTTGACTGAGCGGATATCCCCAGCGGTTTGGAGGGCCAGGCCGGTCAAGGAGGGATACACTCAGGGACGGAGACCCAGACATGTGTTTCATGAGGATCAGATGCAGCCATATCGGTTGTAGTCCAGAACGCTGGGCGAGGACAGCCAGGAGCAGTGTAACAGATTGGCAGCATCATTCGGAGTTTGCACAGTGGAGTGGCGAGTTTGGGCCCATGCTCGGGTCACCAATAATAAGTCCATTATGGCTCAATTATGTGCCATTCAGTTGCGACAAGCTGGTGCCCCGTGAGGCCCAGAGTTTGGTGGCATGGGACTCTAGTACGGGGGAGCCATGACCAGCCTTGGTGGAATCGTATGGACGGCACGGCCTCTGGGACAGTATCGGCAGCTCAAAGCATGCATGATCCGTGGTCGGCCGACAACCCGGCTGCATTACCACCGTAACTGCCATCCAAGGCCGCAGCCACGGAAGCACATCCGAAGCCACGCGAGCCGTGGGGGCTCTGCGCCATCCCCAGGGGCAACGAGTCCCCGCACAGCCACGCAGCTCCTGCCCGCGGGTAGGAGACCCACCCAATGCACTCCGGGACGGGCAGGGAAGGATCCTGCCGCGGAAAATCGGAGCAATGCCCATCGCGGGATCGGGCGGCTCCGTGCGCACCCATGGGCCGGCGATGGAGGGGTGTAGCCACACGGACCTCGCACTGCGGCAGCTAGCCCTTCCCCTGGGTTTCGGGCCCCGTAAAGTTTTCCGGGCGGGGGCCTTTCGGTCCAGAGCCCTTAACCCGAATACCCCGGACCCGAGCGGCTGGGACTCGATGGCCCGGGTGGGCAAGGACTATGCGTAAGGCCGTCTGCGACAATCTGAGCTGGTGGGATTACGGAGGAGGGGCTTCCCGCCGATCTGACCAAAGAAGGTTTGCGGCGGCGCCCCTGTGTGTGAAACGCACCGGCCCGGAGGCCTGGTCGGGGCAGCAAGGAGTGTCGCGGGATGGGTGGCCCAGTAGCTCCGCGGATGGGTCCCGGGGATGACTCAGTGGGGGATGGGCGTGAGCGCGATGTGATGAGGAATCGTGCAATCGGTGGCAGAATCGGGCGGTATCGGGCGCTGTCAGTTTGAGCGGTATGTTATGGCACCGTGAGCAGCATGGAAACGGGCCAGTTTGGGTGAAGGCCTTCCAGGCGCTCATTATAGGGAAGGAATGGTCATTAAGGGATAGAGAAGTTATATAGTAATTCGAAATTTGATGAGGAATCGAATGGTGTTTTTAGGTTCTCATTTGATGAAGAATCGCGTATGTTAGGGGGATTTTTTGATGTACGGGAATGGCCACAGGAAGCCAGGCTGTTTGGCGGCGCTGGAAAGATGACTGATGTGACTGATGATCCGTATGGGGCGTGCGGACTGAGTGTTGTGCGATGCATGCATGGAATCCATGCGGGTTTTGACAGTGTGTGTGAGCTGCAACCCTCTGCGTGGACTGCGAATTGTGCAAGGACGTCTGGCGCCCCGAGCAACCCTTCGCATGCCCCCCGCCTGGAGAAGATACTGGAGTGGAGACAAGCGCAGGCCTTGCCAGGCCTGAATGAGGTCAAAGACTTCTGCGGGCAACTGGAAGAGTTCCAAGTTGCGCGTTTGGCGGCGCCTGGGGTGCAAGCGTCTGGCTCGGACGGGCAGCCCCGGGAGGATAAGGTGTGGCAGAGGACGCGGGACCTACAGAAGGCCTCGATGGAAGTCTGGGAGGCATCGCTCTCAGACGACCATCACATCTACGATGCGATTCAATATACGGGCATGGCGTTCCAGCTGTCGCTGGACATGCGCAACATAGCCCCTGCTGTCCGGGCAGAGATTACGGCCCAATTCGAGACCATGTGTTATATGGGTCTCAAACCAGCCTGGGATGCATCTCGGCGGGACGTGGAGGTCTTTGAACTGTGAGCGCTGGACAATAAGCCCGTGATCTGGAGGGCCCTTGCGAATATCGAAGATGACATTTGGACAGCCAGACTGAAGGTCATCGACGATTACTTCCACCAGTGTATAAAGGGAAACACGGTGGAGGAGGCACTGGCAGCGGATATGGTGTTGCATGGTCTGGATGAAGATCGTCTTTTTGTGATGCGGTTGCCGCCCACACCTCTGAGACGTGATCTTCGTTCGCCTGCATTGCGGAGGGCCATGGCACAGTGGCATGCTCGGGACATGGACATCCGAGAGCAGTGGAGCTTCGACACTGTAAAGGTGGAGATTCAAGGGTGGCTCCAGGGTCACAAGCCGAAGCCAGACTTCGACCGTGAGGAGACGCCCTCTGCGGAGAAGCATGGGTGACAGTGCGGGCGCATGGCGCTGGGTTCTGGGGCCAGGAGGGTTTTTTTTCTTGATGTGACAGATTATTACTGACTAGACCGTATATGGGGATCAAGGGAATGTCCTGGGGGTATGCAGTTGGTCGGCTGAGGGATGTCGTTGCGCTGAAAGTGACTTATTGAGAGGAAGTGGGATCAGTTGGGTTTGGTGAGGTGAACGGTAGAGTGGTGCGTTGGTCCAGATGGGCAGAAAATCCAGATGTGAGGTTGTGGGGAGATCTGGATTCCAAGGTGGACCGTTGGGTGGACCTTTTTGAAACTTGTCGTATGGAAGAACATGAGAGATGTATAAGAAGGCAGGGGTGCGCATTGTAGCCGCCCCCGGTCTGTAAGAACTTTGCTCCTTACGATCGGTGCACCTCAAAAGGCTGCCTCTCGGTTCGAGGGTGGGACCTGGAGGTCGGGCGGGTGGTTCTCCGAAAGGGGATAAGCCCAGCGTCCGTTGAGAAGCGATTTTAGTCGCTCTATAATGCGGTGATCACGATTCCGCATGTCGTATTCCATTGTGCAAGCCCCGAAGGGTCGTGCCATGCCCGGGCGCAGATCTTTACAACGCGCTAGCTCTGCCACATCCACCATTGCCATTGCCTTACCCACCCGCGCGGGAGGGCTTTTCGTTTCCGCTTCCTTGACCATAATCGCATCGACCTCCGGAACCCATCCAGTCTGGCCATCTCATTGGGCCATCACTGCAGAGGGTGGTCGCCAGACTGTGCGTTTCCTTGCGAACTCACAGCGGCCGTCCGCGTTCACCCAAGCAGGTCGCGCGTACAATGGGGCAGGAGCGCGCAGGCAGTTGGCTGCCCGCCGGATGTAACAACTCATTTTCCGAGTAAATTGAACGCATTTGATGATTACATCATGTCCTTCCCCGTTCTGACTGGAGCTACTTTCTACTGGGCTAGTTTAGTGGCGTATTGACGCTGTTGGCTGACTATTGATGATGCATTGACAAGTCCAGTTGATCAAAAGGCAAGCGACCTGTTCCCTTTACATTAAAGTTCATTCTTTCCTTAATTTTTCTTTTCCCGGGAACTTTAACCGATGCCACAATATGGACACGGTCCTGATCGGTGAAATGATGCCTGTGTTTTGAAAAGCAACTTCCAACAAATTCTGGCTTTGCAGTTGGGAGTCATGCACAGACTAAGCGACACAAAGACTCTTGCGGTCCGTGGCATTTTTCAATTCACTTGCAACCATTTCACACTGGAGTGCAAGGCGCTGTTTGGGGTGCTGTGTTTGAGGGCAGGGTGGTCGTCTCTGTTGAATGTGCTTTCGGCCACAGCAACAGTGGGACATTTCGTTCAACATTCCCACAAAATTTGGTGCCAGGTTGCATCTGGGCCACCAGCCCCAATGGCAGCGACATGCCGCCTCACACCCGCCGCTCGGGTGTTGCCGTTCGGCGTCCTGAGGGCGGCCTGTAGGCAGCTTCGAGCAGACCTGGGTGCAGTCTCTGGCGTCCACAGCGCGGCCGCACCCTTTCCATACCAGGAGACTTTTGAGTTCGGCGAGTTCCAGGCGGACAGCGCCACCGTCATCGCCCTGCTGACGCCCTACATCTCGCGCCAGAGGAGGGCCGCCGTGGACAAGGCAAGATTGTGTGGTGCATTTGCGAGGCTGCAGCGGTGGCGGCTGGCGCTGTGTCCAGACAGTACCGAACCTCATCAAATGCGACGCACTTGGTAGCCGTGGGTGCGAGCGGCCGTTCGGAGGCCATGGCCTTTTGCAGTATTTTGCTGGCGCCCCAGTTTCCGCCATGCTTTGTTTGCGCAGGTCGTCAGCGAACGCACGTTCAGTGTTGTCCCCATTGTGGAAGGTGAGATCTCTTACCCCTGATTGGCCCTATCGCCGGTGCACGCCACACAGCCTTTGGTCTCACTTTGCGCTGCATTCCCCCTTCACCCGTAGGACTGGTCGACACCGGCAACCTGTCAGCCGTCTTGAGGTCTGCAGACGGTGCGTGTTAAGTGGCGCGTATTGCCAGGAGCCCTCGCGTGGGGACAGCTCACGAGGCGGGCGTGGTTGGGCATGGGCTGCGCGCTTAGCTGAGATTTGTCGCTGGCGGTGATGTGGTTCAGCACTGGGATACGGAGCGGTGCACTGCATTCGAAACAGGTAAGCAAAGCGCACGCGAGGGACCTCCCGGTCGCTGTCGAAATGACCACGCTGCACGAGCGTGTTGGATAGCGTTTGGTGCAGCGGTGTATAAGATACACTACATTCGTATGGGCAGAGTGTGTATATCATTCATTCACAGTGAACTCAAAATGCTGTTTCGTTCAACCGCACCAACACACTGTGCAGGTTCATGTCTGGCAAAGAAATCAGCCCGCCATCTGCCACTCCTGCTGTTAGCTGCACTGGTGTGCTGCACACGGTGTTGAGAGTGCTTAAGCAATGGTCTGGGCAACAGGTTAAAGTGGGCTCAAGAAACGAAAGGTGTCCAGTTCTTGCTGAACCCTCGAATGCACTCACAAGTTCGGCACTGGGTACACCACAGCTTACCACCATCTATAGTCCTGTGAACATATATTCAAGTGTGTGCCTGTGGGAGGGGTGACAGAACTTGTGGGCATGTGGGTCCCTGTTTGGGACTTGTTCGAACCCATCACCAGTGCTCAATTTAACCCCTAACCCCCGTGTGTCCTAGTACCATCTAACAGTAGGTACATGTGTCTTTCTCATGTTCTGATCCAAATTACAAGACCAGATATCCACGCGCGCTGCACACGCGCGGTCCTCTGATTAACCCGGTGGCGCGTCATCGTGCCGTTGGGCCGGCTGCGCAAATGGTGATTGAGAGACGCTGGCAAACTGGCCTGACCGCACCAATAGATTGTTGCACCAATCTAGGTATGAATCGGTCCACCAATTAGTGGAGCAGTCAATGCAGTGACTGATGTGCCAAGCGGTGCATCAGTCGCTGCAGGAATCCGTGCATCAATGGATGCACCAATCGTTGCAGTGATGGCTGCACCAGTCGACGTGGCAATCATGGCAGCATTTGAGCCATGGAGGAAGGCGAGAACTGTGATCAGTAATCAGCACAGCATTTGATGCGATGATTTGTGCACCAATCGGTGCAGCCAATAAATGGTGAATCAGTGCAGAACTGCGTGTGCAAATTGGTGCACTAATCCAAGCATCAATCACAGAAGTTGGAATCAATCGGTGCGAATTGGCTGGAATGTTACAGGCAAGGTGGCCAGCAAAGCAGTGTCACGGTTTGTAACACCTGGCCGGAAGAGACTTGATATAGTTCGGGAATCCCTGCACGGCTGTTTAGCAGTGAAGCTATCAGAGCCTTAAAAGCATCTTTCACACAGATGCACAAAGTGATCGAGGCAATTATGGGCAGTGGCTGGCACAACATACTGCAAGGATGGTGCTTGCATGCAAGGAATGCTGAGCAACTTGAAATTTAAAGTTCAGCCAGCAGGACGAGACAAAAAATATGCGCAGATGTGTGTCTCGGCTGCCACATATTCCCTGCAGTGACGAAAAAAGCAAAGAGCCCGAGGACGGTGGGGCATTTCTGGCAACTATCCAGGATTCACGACCTTGCGGCGAAATGGGCTTTGAGTCGGGTGCCACTATGTTATGCTAATTGGCAATGGGGAGGGTTACCCAATAGGCCAGCGATGCACGTGGCTCTGTATGTGGGTACGCCTTCCGCCAGAAATGTGCAGGGCACTCAAAACCGTGGGTGCCCCCACCTACATGCGGGAAGTCCAGTGGCGGCCCGGACGCCCCCGTGCTGTGCCACCCCAAGAACAAAGACAGCGTGCGCTGCCTGGATCGACGGAGGATCGTGCCTGCTCCCATCATTGAGACCCGAGCTGGGATCGGCATCTGTGGCGATCCTCGTAAGAAATGGGGCGCTGCAACCCTCAAAGGCAATCCAGTCAACTCAGCAAGGCTAAACGAATGCAAATCTCTTGCAAAACTCTGCCTTCAGCCAGGACAGCAAGGTTGGGAAACTGTTTGGATGTGCTCGCAGCCCCCGTAAGTAGGCACACAAGATCTTGGAAAGGAGCGGAGAAAGGGCTGCACACAAGTGCGATGCACACGTGTTTGCCAAAGCATCCCCAACTGACAGGGACCTCTCAGGCTGGGCAGGCCTGCGATCCGCATCAATTGTTTGCAAGATTTCGCCTGGCTGATTGCGAAACCAAACCAAGCTGCGCGAGCTGGTGCTTGAACACTTTGGCGGCGACCTGAAAGTTGGCAAGCTGGCGTCGTTCCCACAGAAATTGGGGCTGGGCGTGTGCGTGAGAGGGCAGCGAGGTTGTGGGGCGGGTGGGAGTGCGGGTAGGCTGGCAACGGCAGCATGCCGGTGGAGATTGTCACGGCACACTTGCAGATTGCACACACTTTGCAAGTTGCTGGCTGTGCCCAATGGCCTTTCAGTGGGCTGGGCCGAATAGGGAACCGATTGGAGTCGTTCCCACAAGGCGGCCTCCTATGCAGGCGGACGGGGTGCATGGGGATGAACACTTGAACCCCAGTCATCGGCAAGCCAGAGCAGCTGCGCGATCCAGAAATTTGGTGTGTTGGACAGCTAGCAGCGGGCGTGTGCCATCCGGAAGTGGCATGTCTGCCAGGCTTGGCAGGTAAGTCTTCCACAGTGCAGTGGGGCAGTGGCGTGGGGCCGCGAGGGGCCAGTGGCAGCCGCTAGGATGGATTGGCTGATGGGAGCATTGGTGCCTGGTCGCCAAACAGAGGCCTGATACCCCCAACGCCACTGACGACCACAACGGCGGAGAGGGCTGGCGCCGCCACACACATCCCCTCACACCAATGCCCTTGGCGGCCTGGACTTGCACACGCGGGTGCACCCACCACGTGGCGGGGATGGCCAGATCTGCTTGGGTGGGCATGGTGGCGCCTCCAGCCGTTGAGGCAGGAAATGTGCACGCCAGGCTATGGTGCTTTCTGCCATTCCACGCCCATGAGGAGCCTCTCTCGCCAGCTGCGGTGGCCGATCAAGGCGCCCATGGGGTGGCGGGAGTGGGCTCCCATGGGGTGGTGGGAGTGGGCGCCCATGAGGCGCCTTTCCTGTGGCGCTTGTGGGCGTATCGCGGCCCAGCGTTTCCTGCCACCCGCGGTGGCCGATGCAAGCGGCTTGAGGCGGCAGGGAAGAATAGCCACGAATGCGGAAAAGCCTCTCACCGCGTCCTCAGCACCTCCTGGGACCGACCCCGTCTCTACACCACTCTCTTCTGCTCCCATGCGTTGCCTCACGTCTCCGGCTGGGCAACACGGCAATAAACGGAATCGTGCCCACCCGCCTGGCAGGCCACAACCCCGAGGCACGAGAGCTGTGCGGGCTCAGTGCCAGGTCCCAACCGTGGCGCCTCCTGGTCTCTAGAGCCGTGGGACTGGGGGAGGCGTGAGCCCCCAACGCCCAAGCTGTTTGCAGTGTTATGAGCTGTGTGGATGGGCGCAATTGCACAAAAGTGCTCTTGTGAGCCAACGTTAGCCATCCTACCCTTGCTGTTGTGACCCACGTCCCCTTCCTCCAGCCCGTTGGGCCGCCAGCTGTGGCAAACATGGGTGGCCGTTCCTGCCGCTGAGGCACGACAGCTGCCATGGCACGATGCCACGCCGCTCTCCGCTGTGCCGCCGTGTTGTGCTGCGTCGCTGTCTGCCATGGCTTTGAAGCCCCATCGGCCCTTGTCCCCTTGGCTCTCGGGCATGCCCGGCGCTCTGGGCCGTCAAAGTGCCCTTTGTCATCAGTTGACGCAAACCTCGTTGTAGGTGGCCCTGTTAGTGACCGCAAGTCGCCCAGCTCCCAGCGCGACGTGCGCTTCGCTGCGAGTGCCGGCAAACCTCGCTCGGCGGCCAGGGCGAGAGACGCCAATCGCCGCAACAAAAAGTTTCCTTTTTCTCCCATGCACCCGCAGCCAGCATGGCAAGTGTTAATCCTTGATGGGCCAATGGGTTCCTCGCAACGCGCAAACGGGAGTGGGATGGTCACGCCAAATCTCCCATGCTCTCGCCCGTTGTGGCAAGAGCGGGTGTTTCTTACAAGACAGAACTTACAGTAGATGCCATAATTCAGAACCTCATTCGTTGGTTCGAGAACCGCCAGCACATGTAGCAGTTCCCAATGTTCATAATGCTCCCCCTTTTCCCTTCATGACTCTCCAATCCCACTGTTTACTTCAACTGTAACACAAGGCACGACGGTGATGTACTTTGAGAAATCCGTGGCAGGGGCGGCTGTCAACGCGGTAGGGGCTGCCGTAATGCTTTGCAATAGTGTTGCATGCACGCATGTCCGACTTGCTGGGCGGATATTTTAAATACGGCTGGTTCAATTGAGCCCTATAGGTGAGAGTGCCATTTTCCTTGGCTGTTGTCCACACTTGCGGTTCTTACACTATTGGCACCATCCATTCCCTTGGTAAGTCCCTATAAACTATGGATTGCATAACTTGCTGTATGTCTGCATCCTGTGGCTGTGTATCCAACGTTGATCCTGGGCGAGTATCAGCTTCAATGCCAGAGACTTGCTGCTTTCCCAAACATTGCCATAATGCAATGTTCTTAGCATGTCAGCACCAATGATCTCTTGGTATTACCCCAAAAGAAATTACTCTGCCACCGTCAATCAGGTTGCATACTTTACTTCTCCTGCTCACTGCCCAGTTATTGCCCCTTGATTGCTCGCCTCATACACTGTGTGAACATTCCACTCATCATAGATGGCAGTGTGTTTGTTTCGTTCAACATACTATCACTCGAATATTTTCCCGTGCATTCCCCACACAGCCATTGTGCACACACCAATTCCTGTGTGCAGTATTTGATACAGTTCTGTTTGTTGCTTTTTGCCAGCGCATGACCTTAGCAAATGCATCGGAACAAGGGTGACACTATACTTGAGATATACGGATACTGCTTTTTGCAACTACGATTTCTTTTGCGCTTGTTTCTAATGACCACCACTACATCAACTTTTATTTGGTTGCTGTTTGTGCTGGTGCGTATCTGTGTGGTAGCCTTGCAGTACATAGACTTGGTTGTTAGTGTAGATAGCCTGATTTGCTCAAGAGCAATGTGAATGTGCAAAAAAGTCCATTTGCGAATGGGGTTATTTGATTGCAGTAGTCATCTCTTCCACCTGTCCATCTCTTGGCTGGTTGAATCAAATCCTTGGTACATGCCATGGCATCTCGTGGCCCTTTCATAATTGTGAATTATAGCAGTGTCTGTGTAACTCTGGTCTTTCAAAGGATCTGGACACCCTTCATGTCTGATTGCCAGTCAAAAGGCTGATTTGGGAAACCCACTGTAACATCTGGTCCATCTGCTAGCAATTGCATGGTTCATGCATTTGCTGCACAACAGGTGGTGAGAGCTGCTGATCACATTGTACTTTTTCAGTAACAAGAAACCCAAATATTCACAACGCTGCAGCGCTGGTGCGGACAAATGGCTGGAGTTGGTGGAATGGGATCGCACAGAGGATTGCTTGGCTGACATGAAGGAAAATGGATACCACATAGTAGTCACCAGCCTTGCTCCTGGTGCATCTTTGGTTCAGGTATGCAGTCTTTCATTGTGTTGCACTTGTGTCCCTTTTTTGAGTACATTTGGGAAGCTTTACTTTCAATGCCCAAAAAGATCCGGTGGGAACCAAGCTGCATACATGAATCCTGGACATTGTCAGTTTACAGCACACCCATGTAGTTGCATTGCCGCAGAAGGAAGTGGTCCTATACTTGAACGGGCAGCAAATTGCACATAGGGCACTGATTTGCAGAAGCTCTGCAGATGGTTGCCCAGCCTCGAATTGTTCGTCGGCCGATGCGTGGGCCCAAGAGCCTGTGTTGTTGTGGATGCTGACCAGCACTTGTGCTAAACTATGCTGCGACCAGCAGTGATCTCTTCTATGCTTGCAACAACCCCACGAATACAGTAGTGTAAGATTCAGAAGCCTTGGTGCGAATGACCAACGTTTTGCTTCAATGAGAAGCTGCCTGATCAGAGAGAGGTGGCCACACGAAGTGGTAATGCCTGGTTGATTTGCCATGCTAGGATGTGGACTGGACACGCCCAACCGCCGTTGTGCTTGGCAACGAGCTTCAAGGGGTGTCAGACGCGGCTATGGAAATGGCGGACTCCTGTGCTGTCATTCCCATGGTCGGCTTTGTAGAGTCGTTTAACATATCTGTTGCAGCCGCGTTGACCCTTTATGAAGCAAAATCATCACGCATCTGCAAATTGGGATTCCATGGCGACTTGTCGGAAGAACAGCAGCAAATTTTGAAGGCTGTGTTGTATCTGCGCTGCAGGGTAAGTATTTGTGATGGGGGTGCATTTCTGGCCAACGTTGTACCCCATGTGTGTCCCAGTGCCCTCTGTATATGTCTCTTGCATTGCCAAAGCTGTAAATCACGCATATGTCTGTCGATTGACTGGTGGTCTTGATAGCCTCAAATCTGCGCACTTTTGATGACTTGTGATGGTATGCCATGTGATTGTATCCATAGGAAGATGCTGGTCGCTACGTCAAGGAGCTGCTCTCAAGAATGGAGCGAAGTAACGAAAATGAAAATGGGGCGGCCTCTTAAGGAGATTGTTTGCCAAGACACAGATTGTGACGCCTTTATTTCTACAGGTGCAGGAGCGACATGGCGCTGTTTCTGAACTAGGTGCACAGTGTAGTTCTTTGTGCAGCCCGTTTGTCATCGTCGATTTGGTAGGCGTTGTCTGACATAGCTTGTTTTGGATCAGCTGGTGTTATACAGGTGACTTGCAGCAGAATGTTTCGTACACTGGGTGGTTTTTGCCATCTGCATGGTCACATGACATGGGGAATTGCAACAACTGGTGGTCTGTCTCAGAATTATTGAGATTGAACTGAGATCGACCCGTGAACTTGGCGACTCCACCCGTGCCACGTCACTCGCTCCTTTGGTTCCTCTGTGTTGCACATCTCCCTCTCCTTTAGCTCCAGGAGATGTGGAAGCAGCGGTGCCACCACTCCTTCCAGATACAACGAAATCAAGAATCGACCTTTTCAAAAGATGTGTGTCAAAAAATGAACTCCATGTTTTCGTTGTCTGTGAAATGGATGGCAGTGCAACAGGATGCCCAAAGGCAAATTGCGTGCAATCAAGACCTCTGACGGCTCTCAACTTGCACCACATAACTGATGTTGCTATTTAACTATGTGAGCAGGTATTCTCGTAAGAGTTCTCCTTCCCATCGTCAGGGACACACCGATATCCTCAGTCCAAGTGGTGGGACCGTGTGCAATGAAATAGCTGACACAATTGTTGGTCTTCCAGAAGTTTGTCGCAAAACGAATATGGTGGAAGGAGGTCGTCAAGATTTGATGGCTCCCTTGTTTGTCGATTAATTGAAATTGATTGCGATGTCATGGCAGCGGCTTGATGTAATTGTACAGTGGTGGTACCAAAAAAGTGCCCCTCGATGGCGTCTGGTCCCCTATAGCGTCCCATTTTTGCCTTGGTACCATTTTTGCAGTACACCATGTAGGTTTGTTATGAGATTGGACCTCGAACCAATATATGGGGCACTCAAGTGCTGTTCGAGTGCCATGATGTTACAAACAGCTGACAAGCACCGCCAGGAGGGAGTCTACACTTAGGAACAGCAATATGACTCAACGTCTAGCCGTATACGCTCAATGATAATCACTAAGGACACAGCCACTATCACAGCCCTGTAAATCGCCCAGAATTTCTGAACATTCCGCTCCTGCACTTTTGCCACCTTAGCTCATAAACACTCACAAGACAATGAGAATCACCACAACAAGTAAATTCAAGCCCAACAGGACACTTGGGGTGTTGTCGAGCGCTGCCGAAGCGAGGCGCAACCCCAGAGCTGAACTTCGTGTTCAAGTTCACCTTAACCGTTCACATACAACGAGGAACATGCAATTGCTGACCAGCTCAACGAGAGGCACGAAAATACACGCTCAAACTGTGAAACAACGCTCCACACCTCGTTCAGTAGCTCAGTATACCGAGCGTACTGACCATTCTCCAGATGTCGCAAACCGATGTCGTCGATGCTCGTTCCCTGCGGTCCAGCGCTGCGCTCCACTCACTCGCCGAACAACGAACGATGAAGATGAGTCGTTGAGTCGACGAGGACAATACCCAACGTGAGCGCACGCGGGTCAGTAGGTCAACGAGACAGAAAACAAGCTCGGCGACGAGCTGTGGGTATGTGCAGCGGTGCACAACCCAAAGGGGAATCGATCCGGAGGATCAAGAGACAAAGGCACACGGAAACGAAAGTGATTGTTACAAGGTTGCTCCCCTTCGACCACGTTCGACCTCAACGCACTCACAGCACGACCGTTCGCAACCAAACACCAACCGTCCTGACCACAGGAAACAAGAACGGATTGGTGTGGGGCGGAGAGGGAGAGGAGAGGGGGGCACCCACACCCCAAACACTCCCTCCTAAATACCCCCGCCAACTCCAAAGGCACTACACCTTAGTGATCCTCAGACAATCCAACAGACACTTTAAGAAAAAGGCTCCAGTACTCCCAGTACTTCTCAAAACTTCCCATTGACCTTCTCCAAGTCGACCCTTTCCAAAGGGTCACGCAATACAATCAAAAAAGTCAGTTTTGAACACTACAACATTAATCAACGGCCATCAGCACCCCTTGGCAATACTCCCATGAAGATATACTGCTGTACATCCTCTTCCCACTCACATTGCAATGAACTAAGTGCTGTAGGTTCCTGAAAAATCAAATTAGGGGGAATCCCCCTATCCAAAACAAAAATACACCTAATGCATTTTTCGTCCCATGTACACCCATCACACCCCACAGTTCCGTAGTGGGTATTGTCCCCTGGCTGCCTAACCCATTCTACCTCCCTTTCCCCGATGTACGACATGCGTGCCCTCAATTGAATACCCTGCATCATCCAGCTTCCTTCCGGGCCTGGCAGCTCCACCTCCCACTCAGCTGTTACGTAAGCTTTCCATCTTGACATGGCGACCACCCTCCAGTACGCCCGGGTGGCGCGCTCCACCATCCCCACCAGCAGCCCCCCGTCTCCCTCGGCGAGGCCGCCCACACACCCCTCTCCGGCCCACGCGAACGGTGCGGGCAGGCTGTCCGGGCCATCCCGCTCGGCGGCCACCCAAGCATCTCGCTCGGAGATGCTCCAAACGCCCTCGCCGCGCCAATTCGCGGCGAAGACACTCCGCCAAAGTCGATCGCCCAACCGGACGTTGGGGATTGCCGCAACCCAATAGGCTTGGACAGCAAACAGCTGGCCGTTCAGGTGCCTAACTCGCCACCAAGTTGTGGCATCAAAAGCGGAGTGGAGCCAAAAGAGGGGCGTTCCGGGGCCGGAGGCCATGGCCCATGCCTCCGCCCCACCGAGCCCATTGCGGCACGCGAGCACCACTTTGCCCGCTTTGTCTGGGCCGACCAAAGGCTCGCCCGGGCCCCTTCGTCCCTGCGTGCACAGATCCACAAATATCCCCGGAGGGAGAGAAAGCACCACTCCGCCATGGAGCATGGCGGAACCGGAGGGTCCGCCCACACCGCATGCGAGCATGTTCGACCCGCCTGCGGAATGTGGGGATGCTTCAGCCATGGCGAGGGAGGGCTTCTGACGGTCCCTGCACGGTCGGGGAGGCTAGGGTGTTGCGGCGTGCCGAGCAGACCGGGCACAGCGGGCGTAGGCGGGGCGCAAGCGCAACCCGCGGGGACCAGATGCAGGAGGGCGCGGTCACGTCCGACATACAGTACATTACACGAAATGTCAAAAGGGTGGTTTCCCGTACGGGTGCAAAACCACAAAGTACTATTAGCAGCCGCACACAACGTCCCATCACGCCTCACTGGACCCCTATACCCTACCAGTACCTGTCCCGTCAAGGTCCTAGGACCTTTTGCAATAGTTCAGGTCCATCCAAGGACACCCCCTACGGTTCATGGTCTCCTCAAAAGGGGTCAGGAATTGGCCGTTTTTCCCTCTGAAAGTCACTCAAAGGGCCCTTACAGACCGGCCAACCTCTCACTCAGGGTCCCTCACCACATGCCCTGCACACACCGTGCCTCTTTTTCCCCGGCTAATAGTACTGGACAATCTACCATAATCGCATACTAAACCCAATTCTGTACACCCAAATTCCATCACCGTCAAACTGTATTGTATCCCGTCAGCATGCGGCTCCAGCTGACTAGTTTTCGCCCTTTTCCTTGACTAGTTCCCAGCCCAGTCACAGCCGTCCGTGTTGCCCGTATAGCGCTCTTCAATTGACATTATTGTTGCTCATTCTGGACGGTTATGATGAGTGACAATGCAAAACAGCGAGATGGAGGATGTCTCAATTGTAAATGCATCGATTCATGTGCACTGGAGAGAAGCTGAGCGTGCACACGTTTGCCTTGAGCATTCAGCAGCTGCATGACCACCAAATGTAACCGTATGTCATGCGGTTCAAGGTAACTTCTGCTGAGCACATTGGCCTTTCCTTTCTCTACGGTTTTCTCTCGATTACAGTGATGGCCATTTACTTGAGCAGATTGGACTGTAATCGAACAGTGCAACCGGTGGAAGTGTGTTCTGAGGCCGCAGTGTTCATTGACCATGTTAACCCGGCGGTATTCAAAGTACTCGCCCGTCAATTAAACCAGTTCTGCCCACAATACAACGCAAACCACCGCGGCAACGCCACAACATGTCAACAAGCTCTTGCCACGCTGGCATTCAAGTTAGGCACTTGAGAACCATGCCACACCTCGTCACGCTAGCCACGAGCCCCATGGGCAAATGGTAAACTTTCAATATCCTGGATATGGGTGAGGATATGGGCGTTTCCATATCATAGGATATGCAATTTTTTTTCGACGGAAGTGTTGGCTGGACATTATAGCGTTTCGCTAAGACTTTGGTAGTTGTCAAGCTTACTCTAAATAATGAACCACGGGATGCTGGAAACAACCGCTGAAATGGCCTGGCAATTAGGCGCCCGCCAGTGCTTTAAACTAGGAGGGGACTGCGATTGAGGTGATGCACAGCGCCAGGGCATGGTGCGCAGGGAAACCTGCTACCGTCTGAGGTTTATCTTGATGATAGAACATGACTCACAGGGCAGTATGGATGCTGCCCGATGGTTATACTGATTTGCAGCCTTGAAACGCCTGCAAGGGACCCTGGAATGCAAGTGAAACTCAACTCCACTCTGTCACAACCCTCCCCTAGCTGGATGGGACAAGGATGAGCTTTATGCATTTGCTTATACTTGCATATTAGTGACGTAGTTTGACTGACATCCGTATTTGGGTGTCGTACTGTGATGAAACGCGATCAATTTGCATTGCGTTGGCCTCCCACGTACCCAAACTCATATTGTCCAGGCTATTGAGACAACCCTATAGGTTGCCCAGTGCAACTGGGCCTTTTTTGATGTGTCACATACGCTGACAATCGAGTCAGCCGTACAGAGCTATGGGAAACAGGCGCCTGTGCCCGAGACGCCTCAGCTTAAGACCCTCACAACCCCGAAGGCTTGCACATGGCACACAAGGAAAATTCGAACCCCGCAGATGGTGCAGAGT